CAACGCCCGGCTTTTTTTTTTTTCTTTTGGTGCTAGGGGTGATTGTTATCCTTGTAGGGGACTCAGGTTCAGTATCCAGTACCCACACGGTAGCTCCCAATACACACAAGGCTGTTCCCACCTGTCTTTCCGGGGATCTGATGCCATGTTCTGGCCTGATGGGCACTGTGTGCACATGACACACATACATACAACTCAGGCAAAACACTCATACACTTAAAACTAAATGTCTAAAAGAAAACAAAAATATAACAACAACACAATCATGGATTTGAGTGAAAGAGAGGCTATTCCCCTACAAAATCTGTCTAATTGATATGTATTTAATGTAAGCAGATACTACATAGTTTTAAAGAACAAAGCCAAACTATCTTTCCCTGCTTGTTATTATTTTACTATTTGGCATAGATTTTTGAAGGGACTACCAACTATTAAATGACTTAGAAATAAACAGCCAACACACCCAGGTAGGTGGGTGAAGAGGAACATCTCTGGAAGCCACTTTATATAAAAACATAGGGCTTTAGGTGACTCCTTCTGCCTGGTTACTCTCAACCTATTGAGCCAAGATTACTGACAATAACATTTTTCCTTATATTTCACAAGAAAATAAGTCTAGATTTGCTCTTTTCTTTCTTTCATGTGCACTTTATATGGCCATATAAGAAGTACATAAGGTCAATGGATAAATAAAAAGTGATTTTTCCCTAAATAAATCAATACACAATAAAGTAATAGCAAGTCTTTTTTCTAACCTTAGTAAATATAGTCTCCTCTAGAGGAGTGTTATCTTTAATTACCACTTATTTGTTAGAAAATAGTGACTATAAATCAATTCAAGGTCTCTAGACTCTCCGAATATTAATGAAGATTTCCTCTAACAAAGGCAATCTGTGGGAGCATGTAGGTTAAAAAGGCCAGCGTCAGAGTAAAATAATATTCTCTATTCACAATAAGGTCAGATGGAGTTTAGTCAGTCCCCTGACAGTTTCCTTTCAACAGGGAAACAAACTCAAATTGGAAAACTGAAGGATGGCTTCTTTTAGATGTATGGTAATTACAATTTGTCCATGATGTCATGAAACAACTCAGCTATGTTATTTCTTTAGACTAAAAGTAACGTATGATGTTGATGACAGAGGGGTGGAAAAGTCTCAAGGAATAAATTGCTGTGACAGTATGCATCTGCAGGCCGCATTTTGTGACTACTGACAGAATATGGGTAAGGGTTCCTCTCAGTGAGGACACTGAAACTGAGTTACTGACAAAGGGTATAAAATATCTTAATGATATCTCAAGAAAAATAGGCAAATGTTCACCGCCAGGAAGGATTTACTATTTTTCTATCTGAAGGAAGGAACATGAAGTGGAAAGCTCCTCAGGCTTCATTCATCCTTGCCACTCTTTAGGTTAAAAAAGGACTCCCTGGCCCCAATCTTTCTTCAGTCCGTGAATTATCATTCTCTATAATGATTGCACTCTTTCTGTTGCATGAGACTTGCAAACTGCTCTAATAATGAAATCTGTCTGCATTTTTAACTGCTGTTACTGTTGTTAAAATGGTACAACATATACTTTAAAAAGTAGATGTCTTAATGGAAAATATTCAAAGCTCAGCTTGGATTAGGTGAAAAAAATGATAGACTTTTAGAAACGTATCAAAAAATAAGAAGGGCTATTGTCGGGCTAGAAGGGGAAATGTGAAGCAAACGCAGTGACCTCTTAACAGCTGTGAATCTAGGAAGCTGTGGAAGCTTACTGTAAAATTTTTCAACTTTCCTAAGCTTATAGAGTTCCCTAATAAGTTGCTGGGGGGAGGGTTGCGGAGAGAAGCAATCCTATTTGAAAGCTGTTTAAAACAGAGAAACATCCAGCCCCACAAAATGGCTCTGCAAAAACAGACTAGGCAAGGTTTGCTGCTTATGTTTGTTAAGAGGGAAAAGGTTGCCATAACTTTTCTTCTTTTTGACTCCCAGGAAAGAGAAAGGTACTACCTTCATATTGAAGGACAAAGCAGGCAGAAAAGTGGGCTTATTACAAATTTTACACTAAAGTTTTTCTGATTGAAAAATATGTTTTTGCTATACAGTACACCTTCATTTTTTCCTATACTTTGGATTACCTAACTATTCTTTTTGGCAATATCCACTTACTATGAATCAACAAGAAAGTACTCAATAAAATCTAAGAAGTCATTACAAATGACCAGTATATTGAAAACTTTGCTGACCTATTCCATGATGTGTGTATAAAGTATGTATGATATGTATCATAAGCCATTCAATACAAACAGCTTCCTGAAGAGGTATGAAGAAGACATGCTCATGTCTGAAGTTCTATCAGTGACTTTCTGACAGTCAGTTTGAACATATCACACATTTTGAACATATCACGCACCTTGCATAAGACAGGAAGTGTAACAGAAAGAAATTTCTTGACTATTAGTGAATCCATACGATCTATAAATGCACACTTACTGTGAACCTACTATGGACATGCATACCGCTAAGCCTAAAGAAGAAGATATAAGGAGAACAAGTCACTAACTTCATGAAATTATTTTCACAAAGAAAATTTTAATTATTTATATTTTTATTGAAAATTCATCCAATGAATTCCGTCTCCCATCTCCTCACAGATCCTTCCTGCCAACGCCCCCCCACCTCCACCCACCTCCATGCCTTCTTTCTCTCCTTAGAAAACAAACAGGCAAATGAAAAAGCAAACAAAACAGGATTTTTAGAAGTGGAAAAGCACAAGAAACACACAGACAGAAAAACAAAATCCATAACACAAAACCTGAAATCATAATATACAAGTAAAAAGACTATCAAGATTTAAAAAATGCCCAAGCAAAGCAATTTGAGACACATATCTACAGTTACACCATTTGTGTGTGTTGGCCATCTACTGCTGGTCATGGAGCCTATACAGGCAAGCAATTGTAAACAGACTTATCTCATTTATAGACACAGGGTTGGAATAGTGGAGACTCCTTTGCTTAGACGCTTAGAGACCTATGGGGAGAGTGTGTAAGTATAAAGGATGAATGGTGGTGAGCTAGGCTGAAGATGGAAGACAGGATTCCATGCTGAGGTGACAGCAAGTTGCACACAGTTTACAAGTTTTGAATACAGAACTACAGGTGGGTCAATATCACTGAAGAAAAGCTCATGGTACACAGTACGTAAGGAGGCTAGGGAGGCAGGCACTGAACATCCCATAGAGATATATGTAAAGGAACATAAGATTTCTTTTGGCTTTCCGAAGATTTTTAGAAAGGGAATGCCATTTTTAGGTTGTATTTTTACGAGAACTCCCTGGTTCCTGTGGGGATAAATTTGAGGGGGACAAGATGGCTAGATAATAGAGTACTAGAATGAAGACCCAAACCACCACCAGTGATAAGTGTGGTTTCTGAGAAGGAGCAGACACAGCACTGCATGTGGGGGTGACTAAGATCTGGCTTGGGTGAATGTCAATCTTATCCCAACCAATGTCCATGATACAGAGAAAAACGCCAAGCAAGTGGAGAAGATGATGCATTCAGCTCTGGATGTGCTGAACTGGACAGGTTTCGGGGTTATCTGGGGTTTGATTCCCAGAATTAACATGGTGGTTTATAAACAATCTGTAACTCCAGTTCCGGGGATTCCGATGCCCTCTTCTCACCTCCATGGGCGCCAGGAGTGTTCCTGGCACACACACATACATGCAGGCAACAGACATTCATGCACACACAAATAAGAATTTCTAAAAATTCTAAAAAGAATTTTCAAAAGTATACCCCTAATGTTTAATTATATTTAGAAACATTTTAAAATGCTTATCTGCTATAAGCATGTCTTACTCAGTGTCATTCAAAATCTTTTGCCCAATTTTTCATGTTGAGCTTTTTTTATTGCATTTAACAATTCATTACATTTGAATTCATCTTTAGTTTATTATTAGGGTGGAAGGGGGTACAGGACTTCAGAGGGCAAGGGATAACTGTGGAACTGTTTCTCTTCCACCTTTAATTGGGTCCCAGGGGTCAAACTCAAGTTGTCACACACTCAAAACAAGTTCCTTACGGGCTGAGCCATCTTGCTGCCCCTGCTTTATTCATTTGTTGTTGTTGTTGTTTTGTTTTCCATAAGTCCTTTCAGATTTCTGGTTTGCAAACACTTTTCTCTCGGTGTATGACTTTTGTCTTTTAAGGGAGTTTTTGTTTTATTAAAGCACAACTTTTCTCTCTCTTTACCATGTCTTTGATGTCATACCTAAGAAATCTATACCCAGACAGGTCAGATCCCCCCCCACCCCCGTGTTTTCTTCTAATTTTGGGCCTTTCCATTTACATCCATGATCTATTTTAAGGTGTGTGTGTGTGTGTGTGTGTGTGTGTGTGTGTGTGTGTGTGTTTTAATATGGTGCAAAGAATAAATCAATGTAGTGGAAATAGAAAAACCAGCCTGAATGGGCTTACAGGATGAGAGGTGCAGAGGTCAGACAACCCTTTGGAGGAAAAAGGCCAGGCTTAGGAAAGCAGGGCTAGGCAAGAGGGTACACTGCACTAAAGCCATCAGGAAAAATCTGAACTGGCAGTACTGTGTACCAAGACAAGCAATGAAACTGTCTTAACAACTTGGATGAAGGTACCAGTGAAGTAAAGAAGGCCGTCTTCAGTCCAAACTTTTCCCTTAGTGGAACTGCGTGTAACCAACCAGTCCCTTTATGAGAATCTTGGCAACAATAGTCGAGAGGCCTGAAGCACTCTTTATTTTTTCTGTTATGCACACCACCACCCCCTCCGCCATGACAGCACTCTCTTTTATAAAATTACCCTTTAGTTAGCAAACTAAGCAATGGGCTTCATTATGACATTTTTCATCCCTATATGCCACCACACTTTGTACTTAGTCATCCCTTGAGCACTCTTAAAAGGTCACTCTCGACCAAGGATGACTAAAGCAAGTCCCTGGGGGGTAGGGGGGGCATTCCAGCATCACATGCTGGGGACAAACCCCTGGAAGGAGTTCCCTCCCCCGTGGGAACTTAGAACCACACTCTAAAGGGCTTGTCAACCTGTCCCTTCACTCGGGTGACCGCTGGCTAACCTACAGCCGATCCGTAGAGTCGGGACTCAAATCTGAGCAAACGCGGGAGTCAGCTAGGGAAGTCCCTCTCTCTGGTCGTGCCTGCGAGCCTGCGTCCAGAGTCCAGAGGGCTTTTGGGAGCCACCGCCATCGGTAGGGACGCCCGTGGGGATGCTGGAGCCCCGGCCTGCCGGCAGCGTGGGCACGCCGGGTCCTTTCCAGACGCACAGCTGGAGGCGTCCTGACTTTTGATCCCTGTCCCAGCTCCCACAGTTCAGTCCTGGCCTCGGCGGGAAGCTAAGGACCGCTCCGCCGGAGCCGTTTGCCTCCCTGCCCCCCGCACGATCGTCGTAAAGTGCTGTAAAGAGCCCTGCTTTCCGGCACCGTAGGTGAGGCCCGGAAGGTCTGTCTCTGCCCGGCACATGGTACTGGATCTGCTATTACAGAAAGGCTACAGTGAGACTTTGAGGGGCGTTAGCGAAGCATCCACGAGTCCCTCAGCGGGTAATTGGATTCAGCTCTACTTAAAACAGTCACTCGTGTCGTTTCTGAGAGTGTGCATGATGTAAGGGGCTCAGACGTGCCGTGCCGTGCGGTGCACCAGTGCGGTGCCCCTGGAGCAACGTTGGGGTTTGTCTTCATCCCTAGGTCCCCGGTGTTAGCTGACGTTTTTTGTTGTTCCCTTCGCCCTGCAGTCTCCCCGTCCCTGGAGTTCGAAATGCTTTACCTGATCGGCTTGGGCCTGGGAGATGCCAAGGACATCACAGTCAAGGGCCTGGAAGTTGTGAGGCGCTGCAGTCGAGTGTATCTGGAAGCCTACACCTCAGTCCTGACTGTAGGGAAGGAAGCCCTGGTATGTGATTAAAGTCCCCAGGCCTCTGGGGAAGAGAACTAGCTGTCATCCGATTCTCGTACACTAGACTGCACAGAGTCTAAGCGCCTGGTTTTTGTTTTTGTTTTTTAAGACCCTTTAAAACACATGCCCTGGGTCTGGAGAGAACAGAAAGCGCACTCATACACTAACACAGTGACTTGGGAAATGAACCGGTGGTTTGTCCTGCTTTACAAGTCTAATTTTTGTATGGCTTTCTCCAGTAAGAAAAAAAAAAAGAAAGTTATTGTACACTCTTGGGGATAGTTATCAAAATCCGTTATTTCATGAGCTAGCCAAGAAATCCTCTCCGAGTTGTGTGCTAATGAGGTGCTGACGCAGCCTTAATGAGTTGGTTATACAGTCAGCAAGCAATCTGAAAGCTCCCTCCTTTGAAGTATTTCCACTGGGAACGGCAGCGATCGCCTTTCTGTCTGCAACACATCCAAAGAGATCTTACTCATAATCTCCCAGGAAGGCTGTCGTTCCCACATGTGTATGTAGAGTGAATCCGAGACTAAGTATCCAGAGGATTTATTAGTGTGTAATATACCTTGAGCAGGCTCTCATTAAGGGTAAATACGTAAATAATAAATATGAGCAGAAGGGTCAGTTTCTGGTTGATTGTCAAACTCAAAGTGGAACATATATTGAGATAAAGGACTGATGGGTGTCTTGTGGGAGGAGGGGAAGGGTTTTTTAAATTGTCAAAGTGGGAGCCACAGAATTTCTGGCCATTCCTCTCAGATTCATAGACCAGAGAATTGGGAAGGTTGCAGACTTACTAGAAGACTAAATTAAGGCTTGTTTTTGAATTGGCCATGCATTAGAATAAAAATAGTGTCTAACGTCCAGCATTGACTTGCTGGCCACACTTGCTGGTCATCTTAAGATGACAGACTGTGTCTCTGGTTAGTGATGAAAAACCATAATGAGTTTAAAACCATCTGAGAGAATAGGCAGTTTAGTAGAATAAGGTGTTGGACAATGGCTTAGAGGAAAATTGGGATATAGCTTGTTTTTGCCTTGTGACATGTCCTTGGACAATTCTTTTACTTTCTTACTGTATAAACTGAGGCCATAAGTGTCTGCCTCCTAGGTTCTTAGGACAAAAGTTTTCATATAGCTTGTTTTTGCCTTGTGACATGTCCTTGGACAATTCTTTTACTTCTAGTTTCTTACTGTATAAACTGAGGCCATAAGTGTCTGCCTCCTAGGTTCTTAGGACAAAAGTTTTCAGACATTTTCGTTGCTGGTGGACACATTTCCAAACTTCTGTCTTCATTTTGTCAAAGAGAAATAGCCAACTGGAAGGTATATAGTGTTTTATTAAGGTGCACGTGAAAATGCTTTATAAATAAGTTACAAATGCTACTAAAGTATTAATTTTTTCAAGACTCTGTTGTCCCCCAAAACTTGTATGTAGTTATTGTAGAGTGGCAATCAGGGGTTTGGTCTGACCTTACTTGTAAGTAAATTATTTGTATCTTTTTAAGGTGCTAGAATACCTGTTATTTCATAGCAATAAGTATTAATATTTATAGGACATTTATTTTGTTCTGTTTTATTTATTTTCTTTCCAGTGCCAAGAATTGAACCCAGGGTCTCTCATGTGCTCCACAAGCTCTCTACCACAGAGCTGCAATACCCAGCCCCCCCTGTAGCTACTGTTCACATTTCAGAGGCACACACGTGTTCCAAAAGTTGTCCAATATCAAACAGCTAGTGACATAGGCAAGATACAAACTAAAGCAACTCTGGGTTAAGAACTGCCGTTCCAGACTTTCATACTATCTCTGTGCAATCTTAGCAATGGATAATAACTCCACAAGTATAACTTCAGGAATCATTAACAGTAGCTACATTGAGCAGTGTGGCTTGGCCTAGATTGTATCCTATTACAAAGTTCTTTTGAGTAATCTCTTCATGTCTTCCTTCAAGTTCTTAGTTCCTGTTCTTCCCTGAGCAGCTTACCCCAGGATACCATCTCCCTTAGGTCAGTCATTTATAAGTTTGTGCCTTACATTTCCAGTGAAACTGTAGAGCATCTTTCACTTCTACCACATTCTTCTGTGCTTCTTTGAGCCCCTTCATTTCTTGTTAAAACAAACTGACTTTCAGAAATTGCTAACTTGTACCTATATAACTACATGAAGTCTGGTTTCAACTATAGGTAATTATATCACGGCGAAAAAATGATCGTATTTTCTGTAATGAACATATGCTTTCTACCTAGTAGTAATCAACCAGTCAAGATTTTATAAACGGCACATACAGGTATTGCTAAAGAAATTTCAAGTTAGACTGCTCTTCCATTAATCACTGTTGTTTTCAAATGGCCAAATGGTCGTACTATTAATATAGTCTCCAAAAGAAATATGGAGGCCAGGCGGTGGTGGCACAGGCCTTTAATCCCAG